TCCGCTCGAGTTTTGGATTTACAATTTTTAGTTATACATATGTATATAAATAAAATTTTAAAAAAAAATGTTATTTAGATAATAAATGTCAATGGCATTTTTAATTTAGCAGAAATTTATAGTGATTGTTTTATTGGAAAATAAAGGGACTATAAATAATTATATTTTATGTGTGATAATTTTTGTAAAAACATATCAATATAAAGATAATATCTATCATTATTGATATATAAAATATAATTAATCTCACAAATATAATATTATAAAAATTACTAAGAAGTTTAGTTATATTTGCATGTAGAGTAAGGAATGGCAAACGGGTGGGCGGGGCCGGGGATCACACTACAGATTTAAACTTAAAAAAAAAAAAAATTGATCTAACACAGACACAGATCAGATCAGATCAGATCACACACACACACACAGAGACAGATCTAACACAGACAAATCTGAGCGACGCCGTCGGTGGGTTCGGTGGTGGTGGTGACAGAGATCGAGATCGAGAGTGGCTGGGTTCGTCGGTGACCGCGAGTGGGTTCGTCGGTGATCGAGAGTGGCTGGGTTCGTCGGTGATCGAGAGTGGCTGGATTGAGCGACGCCGTCGGTGGGTTCGTCGGTGACCGCGAGAGAGAGAGAGTTGACAGTGATGTGAGATGAACGAGAGAGTGGGAGAGAGTTGAGATGAGAGTGAGGGAGAGAGAGATGAACGAGAGAGTTAGAGTTGAGATGAGAGTGAGGGAGAGAGTTGGTTTATTATTATATATATATATAAATATATAAATATAAGGGGCATAAAAGTAATTTCACTTCGGGGAAATTCGGGGATGGGGCCGGGGACGGGGGCGGGGCCGGGGATCGGGCCGGGCCGGGGATCAAACACTGATCACCGTCCCCGGCCCGTGACAGATCGGGGATTGATTTTCAAATACCGTCACCTCCCCGTCGGGGGTATTTTTCGGGGAAAAACCGCTTAAATCGGGGTCGGGATCGGGGATCCCCGTCGGGCCGGTTTCAAATTGCCATCCCTAATGTAGAGTTCACCCTTTATATGTTGCTTTAATATTGGTTGGTGATATCATATGTCAATGATGACATGATATCACTATTATATGAAATTTTTACTCAAATTTTGTAAAAGTTTAATTTATCTTACCATTATATAATTTATTTTAAGACTTAAATATATGATTTTTTTATATTGTCCATGATATACTAATTATACGCAATACTTTCTTTTCAATTTTACTCAAAATTAACTGTAAAATTTTATGTGAAATACTTTTGTAATAATTTATTTAAGTTTTTTTATTTAATGTTAATTCAAAAATTATTATTATTTTCTTATTGTTAGTTATGAAAAAAAAAATTGAAATTGTAATTAATAAGTACCCTTTCTAATTTAATTTTTTGACTCCACCAGTATCCATGATCTACATTTATTGTAAGTGTCACATTCCACAAACGTTAAATCTATATCACACACTCACTTTCAAGATAAGATTTGTAATAAATTTTCAAAGTAGATAATATTTTTTTACAGTGAATTAGCTGTAACGTTAAAGTTCATCGTTGAGGGAAGATGATGATGTTTGCCATTTTGGAATTCCCATGCAAGCTTTAGAAGAGCTTAAGGTTTGAAAAAACACGTCATCGGTGACAAGGGAGTCGGATTCATTGTTGCGGTGCCATGACCAGTGAGCATGTGTGGTGTTCAAAATTCTGAATCGGCCATGTCCAAAGCTTGGCTCACGATATAGCGAAATTGAAGGACTTGGCTTCTTAAAACTTCAATCATGCACATCACCAATATACATATGAAACAATGTTATCCTCAAAAACTCAACATGGAGTAGTAAGTTTTTACATCTAATGTTTGTATCAAATTTTAAATAGTGATATATAGATGAGTCAATATTGATTGTGGTGTAACAGTATCAAAAGTTTACCTATCATGAACCAACCAATATCAATTTATTTTCATTTTCACTCATGTATGGATATGGATATGTATTGACCAATATAATCGATATTAGCCAATATTTAAAATCATGATTGGTATTTATCATAGAAAATTCTTAACTAAAAGCAAGCAAAGCAAAAGAATAATTGAAATTTTTGACTAGAACTTACTTGAAAGCAAGGCCTTCTCTGTTTCCTCCATCACCAATGGTCACATGTACTGGACCACAAGGGTCTGCCTTCTTGTTATAAACCCTAGTCTGCGATGGAAACATAAACACAAATGAATCAAACTATACCTTCGTTTGGTATAAGTTAAAATAGGCTTTTTTTGGGCTAAAATAATCATAAAAAGACAAAATAAATTTTTTAATTTAATAAGATAAAATATCACATTCAAATCATAATCATTTTATTTTTTTTTCTCATAAAAGTCAAAAAAATCAAAAAGCTTATCCGAGACTTTTTAATCTTGAGCTAAAATAGCCAACAAGCCAACTCATATCCCAAACGAACCCCTAAAATCATTTGTGGAGTCCATTATTTTTATCTCAAATTTATTTCCCAATATGTGAAAGTCATTTGTGCACTTTAGATTTATTTATTTTTTAAAAATGTTTTTGAGTAAGTATATGTGTTTTCGAAAACTATAAATAACTTACAAATCTTTCGTATGCATGAACATGTCCTGCAAAAACCACATCCACTCGAGCCCTATACAACAGCTCCTCCATAGCCTTCCTCATGGTCTCTCCTTCGCCTTCATGTGCCTCATTACTATTATACCACGGTGCATGAATAAGCACCAAGAGCCATGGTGTCACTGTCCTATCAACTTTCGCCAAGTCAGCCTCAAGCCACTTGTACTGATCAGAGCTGGCCTCAAAGTCCGTGTAGGATCCCAACATGGCAATGTGGGTCCCTGCAGCATCAAAAGAATAGTACAGATTGGAGTTGGACCCACTCTCTTGGTACGGCATGAGCCACCTGGAATTGTAGGCTTTGAAACCATGAGGGTAGATAATTGGGAAAGTTTCGATTTCATGGTTGCCTTCGGTCACCATCCATGGCCGACGGCTCGCGTATTGCTCGACTAGGCGGCCGAATGAGTCCCAAAGTGGTTGTTGGGTATCGGCGTACGACAGATCACCCGGTAAGAGAAATATATCATAGTCCCTTGCATCAATATGTTTTAGGGTTGATGCTGTCCATTCAGTCTGGCCTAGATCACCTGTCTCAACAAATTTGTATAATTTTTTGTTTAAGTCAAGCCTCGTCATATATGATTTTGTATCTCATATATATGATGCTAATTTTTAGCTTCAGAAGAAGGGTAATTCCTTAGAGCAAGAATCTAACAAAGCAAAAAATGGTTTATTTATTTATTTTCCTCGAGAGCAAAAGATATTTGAAATTCTAAACTCGTAGGTAAAACATGGCTCACAATTAGATCTAAACATCGCGCACGAGGATTATAGAAAAATCAAGGTAAATTGAGGATATAGAAAAAAAACAATTGCAACTTTTTTAGGTACTCAAGGATTATAAATGTACAAAGGAAGACACCAACAACACAAAAATTATACCACATAAATGGCATGAAAATTGTGAGGCTTAAATCCATGTGAATGTTCTGCGTTAATGCTGTAACATAGTTTTTGTGTCCTTCAGCAATTTCCATGTACAAATTAATGTAATGTCACTAAACATAAATCCTACTCATTAATTAACATTCTTAAAAAAAATTGTCACAAATGTTCAACCCATTACTAAATCAGTTAGATTAGAGTTGGGCTATATTTATGTTCACAGGCCTTGTCACACATACACACACCCTAGGCCTCAACCCAATAAATTGTGCTTTCGGCTAGCTATGCTAATTGGAGCCAGCTAGTTCACTCCCATCCCATGAACTATGAAGTATTGAACACTTTTCCTTCTCTCTGTTTGTTGCTTATGCTTTAATCTTTACCTTCTAATGTTCTTACCTTAGCAAACACATACTCATGCCAAAAAAAGGGCAAGGAAATGACATCAGAAAGAAGCTTTAATCTTAAAATGTTTTGCCTATACTTCCACAGTCTCAATTAAAGTTAACTCAAGTATTAGAGATATTTTTCTAACATAAAAACTGCACTTTTAAACTTATGCCTCCCATTTAATATTGTCAAGATCAAGAAATTATTTACCGGTCCTAAGTCAAATCCATATTATATCTCAACTTTGGTAATTATTGATTCATATAATAATATTTGTTATATTTAGGTTAGTATTTTAAGAGATAATAGAAATAATGCCAATTAATGAATAAAATAAAATGCTGATTCAAAAATGGCTAATAATTTGTCAGGACCATACTATTTAGCTTTCCCACCAGCACCTAGTCTTGTCAATATCATATCACATCAATCATGCCATACTAAGATTTAACCAAAAAAACAAAAAAATAGGGATAAATTACACCAACACTCCTTGGAGAGTTTGATAATTATAGGCACATTCTTTCAAGTTTTCGAATTTTTTCAACAACCATTACTTTTATCTAACAATAATAATATAGAAAAACATGAGCCATTTTAGTTGTCCATTAAAAAACTAGATGCAAATTGTTGAAGTCACCATATTAAAAGACTTAATATGGTGAATTTTTCCTTATTCGGTTAAAATTTAGTCAAAATTAATGGGGGAGTGAAAAATGCAATTTTTCCGTATCCATCATGTGATGTCATTAATAAGGGAATATTTATTAATTTAGACACTTGAGGGGCATCGTTGTAATTATCAAAAAAATCAGGGGTTTATTCATGAAGAATTGATAGATAAATAGAACAAATGCTTCCCAATTTGATTGTTTTTTTTTTTCTTTTCATTATTTTGAGTTTTTTGTGACAAGTCTTGCCCACATGGTTTATAGTACATTAGGCCGACATGGTTTATAGCACATTAGGCCCCATAACTCTTTTAGTTAACTCAAGTTAATTTTGTTCTTTAATTGGTTAAGTCATGGTTTCAAAATTTGGAAAAACAACAAATCAAGGCATTTGAAAATATATATATAACAAATACACGTAGATGCAAGTCCTTTTGTGTTAAAAAACACAAAAAAAAAAAAAAAAAAAAAAAAAAAAATTGTATCCTAGAAAGATTCTCACGTTTTGATAATTATTTGCCCTACCTCCACTTATTGGTAATTTTTCCTCAAAATTTTAGTAAACATTATGATATTGATCTAGTGTAGCATGTCCTTAAGTTACATGTTCAAGTTAATGACGTTGTTGTGTTGTCAAGTTAATTATTATTATTATTATTATTTTGTTTCAAACTTTAAAATATCATAACTTTTATGGTACACATCAATATTTGAAAATTTATAAACAAGAATAAAATGAAAGATTAAAATTTCTTAATATTAGAAATTTCATAGTTGCATTGTGAGAAATTGTGAAATTACACAATTTTTGTATGTGAGAAATTGCAAATTTCAATTTTTTGTACAAAAGCTATGAAATTTATTGTACAGAAACTGTGAAATTTTATGAAAATTGAAAATTTTCTTTATTTTTTAAAAATTATGTATTTTTTATTTCTTTTTATGTTTGAGAAACTATGAAATTTCACAATTTTTGTTATAGTAACTATGAGAATTTATGAAACTGATAAATTTTTTAGTTCTTCAAAATTTGCAAAATTTCTCAGATTCTACTATGAAATTTCTTGGGTATCATTTAAAAATATATATATATATATATATTATAGATTTTGATGAATAAGTTCCAAATGTACATTTTATGAAAAAAGTGAGTTGTTACACAAGGCAAATGCGTAGTGCATAATTTAAGTTGTTAAACAGATCTCACATTTTAACAATATAAAAGTATTTCGTTTAGAACTTGACACGTGAAATTTAATCGATTAAGAGATATTTTGTGAGACTAAAGAAAGATAAAATAAATGAAATAAGTTAATAATAACACAAAATATCACATGAAAATCATAACTATTTCACTTTTTTTCTCACAAAAAAAAATAAAAGAGTCAAAATCATCAAAAAAATTCTTCCCAAACGAACTCTTAATCTACTATAACTCTATGTTATGGACCTACTGAAAATCTTTCTTTAAAAAAAATGATTATGCATACGGCAATCCCATAAGTTGTGATGGGAAGGGTTATGAAAGGAGGCCATGAATATTAGGGAGGTAAGAAAAATCGGTAAAATCAAGCCAGTCAATGGAAACTAATCGAAATTTTAGTTTTCATTTTTTTTTCTTCATAATATATAGTCTGTTTTGATTTTGAAACTTTTATACCGATACAAATCAAATTGACAGAATATTACATTTAAATATTTTTATATTATAATTTCTTAAACATTATATGTGAAATAACTAATATAATACACTTTTGTGATAAAAATTAGATAGAAAAACATTTATAGAGCAATTTTCACATATTTTTAATATAAAATTCTATAATCTATTATAAAACCTTTTAAAAATTCATGTAAAATTTTCTTCTACACCAAGTTGACAAAACCGAATTATAGCATATGGTTTATATCGATTTCTCAATCATAAAACTGAAAGAATTGGTTCGATACTATATATATATCCTCAACACCGACTAAATTGAACCGTTTACGCTCCTAATAAATATTTGTCCAATATACATCAATCAATATCTCTTCAACTTACCCCTTAAATGCATTTAAACTAATAATTTCTATAAGATGTTTTTTAACGTGTTTAAAATAGTTGTATATTCCATCTAAAAGGGTCAAGGTTATTTCTCAGTTTTGATGCCTGAAGTGGATGTCGAATTTGAGCGTTGGATGCTCGCCACATCAACACTGTATTGGTTCAAACTTTATTCACTTAGTTTAAAAGTTTATAAATCTTTTTTTAGTTTAAAAGTTAACAAGTCATTAAAAAATTAAAAAGCTAACAATTTATATTAAAAAATTAAAATTTTCTTTTTCTCTTTACTTTTTACATATTTTTTCGTAAAAAATCAAAAGGTCATCTCAAATATAGTCACTTTGTTTGGTTTAGATTTTCTAAAAATACTTTTCAAAAAATTTTACTTTCTTATTTTTCGTATTTTTTTAATTTTTACTGAATTTTTTAATATTTTAAGCAATTTTTTATTTTTATTTTTAGACACCCCTAACGTAAATACACTTAAAAAATATAATTTTCGTGAAAAAAATCTTTACAAAATTCACTAAATACCAAAAATACAAAAAAAAGAAAGAAAATTCAATATATTTTTCGTATTTTTGTGTATTTATTAATTTTTTGAAATATTTTATTTTTTAAATACATCTAAATAAAGTGTATCTAAAAAAGTAACAAAAAATGCTTAAAATTTTAAAAATATTTACTTAAAAAAAACTCGGAAAAAAAAATTAATTTTTAAAAAACTAAATTTAGAAAATTGAAACAAAACAAACTGAGTAGTTTTTTTACCTTATATTTTAACTAAAAAATTAAAAAATTACTAAAATAACATATTTATAAAGAAAGCCTCAATTTTAGATCAACGTAAAATAATAATAATAATAATAATAATAATTTGGGTTAATAAGTCAGCAAAATCTTTCAACCAAACTGTTCCTCGTACCCGAATTAGAAAGAAGCCATATCCCACCTAAAAATAGGTAGAGGAAAAACAAAAAAGGGGAAAGAAGACAACTCACCAACAATTGCAAACTCGATTGGCAGGGATGAAGTTGGTGTCCTGAAACTAAACTCGGGTCCTGAACCACCACACCTGTAGTAATACGTGGTGCTCGGCTCCAATGGTCCGATGGTGACGTGGTGGATATTACCGGAGGTGTAAAAGAAGTACTGATACTTTGTATGATCTCCGGTGGCCGATGATTCGTACGTCCCCGATACCTTCCCGTATTCCACCATTGACGGCACTTGGTGACTGGTGGTGACATATGACACCCTCATGTGGTCTTTCCCAGCCAGTGATATATGAACCTAAAAAAATGATTGTATTTGAAGTTTTTAAAAAATGGGTATGCATTGTTTGTTCAAGAAAATTATTTTTTTTATTTTTTTTATTTTTGAGAGAGAGAGAGAGACCTGTTGTGGGTCAGATTCCGATCCTTTGTGGGCAGTGAAGATGACCGGCCGGGGAGGTTGACGGGTATATTTAGATGACGCAAGCGACTGATGAGAAAAGAAGACGAAGAAGAAGAAGAAGAGGAATGTTTGAAAGCAGCATTTCGCCATTTTTTCTTTTTCTTGTGAGTTCTGAAACTGAAAATTCAAACTTGTCTGAAATGGGAGAGCAAATGGGGGAGATGTCATGAAATATATATTAATGAGTGCACGCTTACTTACGTGTACACAAATATATGACCTGTTTGGTTTGTTTGTTTGGTTTGTTTTTGGAAGAGTTGTTTTTGAAAAAAATTTAGGGAGAGAGTTTGGCCTTGTTTGGTTTGTGTTTCTTAAAAAATTTTGGGAAAAATTCTCTATAAATAAGTTTTCAAAAGTAATCAAACCAAACAAATTTTCTTAAATTTTTTTTCTAAAACTTGTTTGGATTATAAGTTTTCCAAACAAATCTCTTTCTCGTACACATCAAATCAATCACTTTTTCCAAAACTCTCTCTCAAAATAATTTTTCAAAATATCTTTTGAAAAAAAATCAAACCAAACAAATTTTCGTACTTTTTATCTCAAAACATGTTTCTCAAATACAAACCAAACAAATTTTTTTTGGTTTGTTTGGTTGTATATTTTGGGAGAGTTATTTTTTTGGGAGTTTAGGATGATTTGATATTTTGGGAGAATTTGAGTAGATGTGTGTGAGAGAAAAAGTGATTGAGAAGGAGAGAGTAGAGAGAAAAAGTGATTGATTGATGTGTAAGAGAGAAAAAGTGATTTTGAAATTTTTTTGAAAAAAACTCAAATCAAACAATTTTTTAGAAATTTTTTTCTAAAACTCATCTCTCAAATGTAAACCAAACATATGCATAGTAATTGTTAAATAATATAAGTATTGCATATTATTTTGTACAAATTTAAAAATTAGATTCACTTGTTAAGTTGAATGATCAAATCACTATTAAAAAAAAAAGTTTAATAATCTATCAATTTATTTCTTATGTGTTATTTCTCATTCACTCATATATTCTCTATTTATTAATCAATTGTCTCACTTACATATTATTAAATTTAAAAAATAGATTTGTATATTATTTTTTTGTTAATGTCTGAGAAAAATATATCATTGTCATGGTTTTTTAAGAATAAAAAATTGTGTAAGAAAATGTTGAAATGTGTTTGGATTATAAATTTAGATAGAATTTAAAAATAAATAGAAAAAATAGAAACAAATGTAATAAAACATAAATATAAATTAAAATTTTCTCTTTACTTTTTTTCTTTTTCAAATTTATAATTTAAATACAACTTAAGTGATTTATGTATATAGGAAATTATATGTACTATACGCATCCCTAGTTATAATTTTTGTAATTTTTTATGATGACATATTATAGTATCAGTATGTTTGTTTTGAGGGATAAGGGTGTGAGATTGAACTATTAGTCCTATCGAACTAATAGTCCATTGTTTGTTTACAAAATTTTGCTCCGGACTAATAGTCCCCTCGGACTATTAGTCCCACAAATATGAGACTATTCTATCCCATGGGGGGTGTGGGATAGAAACCATGGGATTGGTATCCCATGGGATTATTTGGTGAAATGTCCATTTTACCCTCCATGCTATTATTTAGTAAATAATTAGAAAGGATAAAATAATCTTTTGAACATTTACAAATTATTTTTTTAGTGTTGTTAATTTAAAATTATATATTAAATAAAAAAATTAAATTATAAATTATAAATTTAATTTAATTAAAAATAATAAATTAAAAATTATGGACTTGTAAATTAATTTTTTTTAGTGTTGTTAAAAAATTAAATTTACATATTTCTCTAAAATTATTTTTTAGTATTGTTAATTTAAAATTATATATTAAATAAAAATTATAAATTAAATTTATTTAAAAATAATAAATTATAAATTATGGCCTTATAAATTAAATTTTTTTAGTGTTGTTGAAAATTTAATTTATATAGTAAATAAAATTATTTTTTTATTGTCGTTAATTTAAAATTATATATTAAATAAAAAATATAAATTTTAAATTACAAATTTAATTTAATTGAAAATAATAAATTAAAAATTATGGCCTTATAAATTAATTTTTTTAGTGTTGTTAAATTATAAATTATAGATTACAAATTTAAAATTATATACTAAATAAAAATTATAAATTACAAGGATAAAATAATCTTTTGAACATTTATCCTTATCCAGTCCGTCTAACCAAACAATGGATTCATTAAAAATAGTCCAATCCAGACATCTAATCCCATGACTAAACAAACATAGGATACAAATCCAGTCCAACCAAATAGTCCGGGGACAATGTATCTCGGGACTAACAGTCCGATGGATTACAATCCCCCTTATCCAGTCCGTCCAAACAAACGTAACTTGTTGTGATATTGATTATAATATTTTTTTTTTTTAGGATTGAAGAGCTTTTTTTTATTATATCTTACATAATATTTAGTTATAATTTTTTTATTTTTTGTTTTTTTATAGTTCATAGAATTTAGTTATTATGTTTGTGATAATCAAATCAACAAATATTATAACTTCTAAATGGTATATGGTAATATTATATATATATATATATATATGCTTGTGAAGCTATAAAAAAATAAAAAATAAAGTGTCAGAAATAGAATTAAAATTGAGTATAAAATGGAATGCAATGGCGTTAAGTTTAAGTCCTGTTGGGAATAATTTTGGATATGCTTACGGCAATGACCACATAACATGTGACCACATAGTAGTCGCCCTCCCTCCCTGCAGCTGAGCTTGGCTAGGCTTGTCTTGGCTTGGCTTCATTCAGCTCACCCGAATATTTAAAGAGTAATATACTTTTTTTTTATATTTATTTTAAGTTACAGTTTTTATTAAAAAACTAAAAAATTAACTTTTAATTTTCATCCCAAAATAAACCTAAGAATGCGTACCAAAGAATGCGTACCATATATTTGTGCAGTTGAATGTCACAAATGTCATAATTGAATTGTTTTAGAATTATAACAGGAAAAAATTGAATCATAACCAAATATTACATAGAATATAATATAACTAACATTATAATGAATTCTAACTAACATCACAATATGTATAATCAAGATATAACTAATATCACAATAAATTATAATAAAAAACTACAACCGCCTTAACTTGGAAGGTGTATGAGGGGTGTGTATTGCAAAAATTTCCCACTAACAAATAAATAAATAAAAATATATAAAGGGTTATGTTATGGTACATATTCTCAAAAGAGTGTGTATCACATGCAAGTTATAACTAAAATAATATTTGTGGGGCTTAATTATTACAAATCTCATAACTCAATTTTTTTAAGGTCATAACTAAAATAAATAAAAAAAAGAGTCACATATATAACTCAAGATTTTTTTTTAATCATAATCAAAATAATATCATAATCAATATCACAATGAGTTATAATGAACATTATAATATGTATAACTATACATAAATAAATCATAATTAACACCATAATAAATAATAACTAAATACTACAAACGTCATACCTGGGTTACATATAGTAGACAAAAGTATCAATGATATTATGTTCATTTTAGAGTAATATTACAAATCCAAATTTATTAACTTAAAAATCATTCAGAATTATCATCTTATGGTTCAAATTTATTCGACATATAGACTATATATTATATAAATTTAATTTCCACCATATAACCATCCATTCAAAAAAATTTGAATGAATAAATTTGAGACAATAAACTTATTCTTCATTTTAAATGAAACTCTCAATTTGGGGGTGTTTGGGAACCCAAGTTTGAGGCTAAAATAGCCTCAAACACTAAAAAAGTTAAATAGTCTTAAATAGTACCCTAAACTAATTATTTAAAATAAAATAAAAAAAAGCAGCTCAGCAATGGGGTAGCTACATTGTCACGTTGACAATGTAGTCACAGGCTACCACTGTCACAATGGCAGGCAGTCCCATTGTTGGTAAATGACAATTTTGTCTCTTTAAACCAATTTTGGAAAAAAGTGAGATTAGGGACAAATTTGTCATTTCAGTCTCAAACATCATTTCAAACACATTTTTTAATATAATAATCAACCAAAAAATTCAACCCAACTTCCCAAACATAAAAGTTAAAATAGCCTACTAAAATAGTCAAATAGTCAAAAAACTAAAAAAATAGTCATTTCCCAAACACCCATTTTGTTAAGGTGAATGTCAAGATTGCTTTGATTTTGTACATTAAAATTAAAAAAAAAAAAAGAAAAAAAAAATCAAATGGCATCTAATCATGTTATCATGTTGTTTTAGAAAATAAAAATGTTAGAAATTCTAATGTTTTACCAAAATCTCTACTAAATGTCTCACATGAGTGTGAGACTCACATGAAACTCATACCACCCCTATAAAAGACATTTAATAAAAATTTTAATAGAATTTTTGGAGTTTCTAATATTACATTTTAGAAAATGTTAAAACCTCACATTACACGAGGAATCACTGATTTAATTATCGAGACTCGTAACTTGATTATTACATTATGGTTATGTTTGGGATGTTGGTTTGAGGTTATTTTTAGTCATAAAAAAATAAAATAAGTTAAAAAATTAATAAGACAAAATGTCACATTCAAATCATAATCATTTCATTTTTTCTCTCATAAAAGTCAAAAAAATCAAAAAACTCATCCCATACAAAACTTTTTAATCCCAAACTAAATAATTAAAAAACCAAAAAAAAATCAACCCACGTCCCCAACAAAGGCAATAGCTCCTTTTAAATGGGAAAAGAACTTTGAAAATGCTCCCCAAATTTAAACAAAATAAGTTTTATTTATTTATTTTTATTTTTATGAAAAATGCATATGAGATTATGCAAAGAAATAATTTTGAATAATGTTATATAAATAAATAATTTTGATATAACATCTATTGTAATGGATTTCATTTTAGGTAACGAATTATTATTATTATATGATATATTTGTATCCATTTATTCAAAAAAAAATTAAAATAATTTATGATTTAAAAAATATCAATGTCAAATCATTTTCTTGAATTTTCCTTCATAATTTTTTTGTTTTCGAATTATTTTTCTGGATATGTAAATATACATGGTAATGCGGGTTTTGTCCATCCGAATCAGATTTTTAATCAAACTTTCAAAAGGTTCTAAATATCAAATTAA